CACATCTGAAAAGTCCATTTTGCCATATAAGATAACATATTCACAGGCTCAACTATTAGGATGTGGACTAAACATTTTTGGCTGAGCTGATGAGATTATTCTGTCTGCCATAATGATAGACTTTGGAATATCTTAACATGTACTAATGAAATAATAGCCTTTAACCATCTTACTATTAATTCTGCATTAAGTAAACAGTTTTTCTTTAAAGAATTTATCAGTTTGGGGCTTCTCATGCAAAATCAATCTGAAAATGTATAAACACATATTTGATAAACTAATTGTTAAGGTTATGGTAATTATAATACTGATATTTTAATTGCATATAAATACACAGAACTTTAAGAAATACGTTATGAATGAGTTAAATAATAAAGCAAATATTCTCTGTCCCAGAATGTCTATTATTCAGTCACATTTACTGCATATATGGATAAACAATAATGTGTTTTTAATTGATCAAATTTACTAAATGTCAGGTTTATCCATCAGTTTGTGATTCATAAACATAGTGAATAACTTCAGAGCTTTATAACAATATTAATTATCACAAAAGTCCTGAGAACCATAACAATTACTGTAGAGCTATATAAAATAAATATTTTATTTTTATCAATAATTTTCCAGCCACAGGACTGGAAAAGGTCAGTTTTCACTCCAACCTCAAAGAAAGGAAATGCCAAAGAATAGTCAAACCACTGCACAATTGCACTATTCTCACATGCTAGCAAAGTAATGGGCAACATTCTCCAAGCTAGGCTTCAATAGTATGTGAACTGAGACCTTCCAGATGTTCAAGCTGGATTTAGAAAAGACAGAGGAACCAGAAAGCAAATTGCTAACATCCATTGGATCATAGAAAAAGCAAGAGAATTACAGGGAAAAAAAAAAAAAAAACCATCTACTTCTGCTTCATTGATTATGCTAGTCTTTGACTGTGTCGATCACAACAAACTATGGCAAATTCTTAAAGGGATGGGAATAACAGACCACCTTATCTCCCTCCTGAGAAATCTGTATGCAGGTCAAGAAGCAACAATTAGAACTGGATATGGAAGAATGGACTGATTCCAAGTTGAGAAAGGAGTACAGCAAGGCTGTATACTGTCACCTTGATTATTTAACGTATATGCAGAGCTCATCATGCAAAATGCTGGGCTGGATGAAGCATAAGTTGGAATCAAGAGCTCCTGGATAAATATCAATAACCTCAGATATGGAGATGACAGCATCCTTATGGCTGAAAGCAAAGAGGAACTAAAGAGCCTCTTGATGAAAGTGAAAGAGGAGAGTGAAAAAGCTGGCTGAAAACTCAACATTCAGAAAACTAAGATCATGGCATCTGGTCCCATCACTTCATGGCAAATAGTTGGGGAAACAATGGAAACAGTGACAGACTTTATTTTCTTGGGCTAGACTGCAGATGGTGACTGAGACCATGAAATTAAAAGATGCTTGCTCCTTGGAAGTTCATGTTTCATGGATTGTTGAAGTCTGGCTTGGATAATTTTGAGCATTACTTCACTAGAGTGTGAGATGAGTGTATTTGTGCAGTAGTTTGAGCATTTTTTGGCATTGCCTTTCTTAGGGATTGGAATGAAAACTGACCATTTCCAGTCCTGTGGCCACTGCTGAGTTTTCCAAATTTGCTGCCAGATGTTCAAGCTGGTTTTAGAAAAGGCAGAGGAACCAGAGATCAAATTTCCAGCATCCACTGGATCATGAAAATAGCAAGAGAGTTCCAGAGAAACATCTATTTCTGCTTTATTAACTGTACCAAAGCCTTTGACTTGTAGATCACGATAAACTGTGGAAAATTCTGAAAGAGATGGGATTACCAGACAACCTGACCTGCCTCTTTGAGGAATCTGTATGCAGGTCAGGAAGCAACAGCTAGAACTGGACATGGAACAACAGACTGGTTCCAAATAGGAAAAGGAGTACATCAAGGCTGTATATTGTCACCCTGCTTATNCAGGTCAGGAAGCAACAGCTAGAACTGGACATGGAACAACAGACTGGTTCCAAATAGGAAAAGGAGTACATCAAGGCTGTATATTGTCACCCTGCTTATTTAACTTACATGCTGAATACATGATGAGAAACCCTGGGCTGTAAGAAACACAAGCTGGAATCAAGATCGCTGGGAGAAATATCAATAACCTCAGTTATGCAGATGACACTACCCTTATGGCAGAAAGAGAAGAAGAACAAAAGAGCCTCTTGATGAAAGTGAAAGAGGAGAGTGAAATGTTGGCTTAAAGCTCAACATTCAGAAAGCAAAGATTATGGCATCCGGTCCCATCACTTCATGGCAAATAAATGGAGAAACAGTAGAAACAGTGGCAGACTTTATTTTGCGGGGGCTCCAATATCACTGCAGCCATGAAATAAAAAGATTTTCTTTTTCTTTTTTATTTTTTTTATTTTCTTTCTTTTCTTCCTTGGAAGAAAAATTATGAAAAACCTAGACAACATATTAAAAAGCAGATATATTACTTTGCCAACAAAGATCCATCTAGTCAAGACTATGGTTTTTCCAGCAGTCATGTATGGATGTGAGAGTTGGACTATAAAGAAAGGTGAGTGCAGAAGAATTAATGCTTTTGAACTATGGTATTGGAGAAGATTCTTGAGAGTCACTTGGACTGCAAGGAGATAAAGCCATTCCATCCTAAAGGAAGTCAGTCCTGAATGTTCATTGGAAGAACATATGTTGAAGCTGAAACTACAATACTTTGGCCATCTGATGTGAAGAGCTGACTCATTTGAAAAGACCCTTGTGCTGGGAAAGATTGAGGGTAGCAGGATAAGGGGACGACAGAGGATGAGATGGTTGGATAGCATCACTGACTCAATGGACATGAGTTTGAGTAAACTCCTGGAGTTGGTGATGGACATAGAGGCCTGGCATGCTGCAGTCCATGGGGACACAAAGAGTTGAACATGACTGAATGACTGAATTTAACTGGACTGCTCCTTGAAAGAAAAACTATGACACAACTAGACAACATGTTAAAAAGCAGAGACATTACTTTGCTGACAAAGGTCCATCTAGTCAAAGCTATGGTTTTTCCAGTAGTCATGTATGGATATGAGAGTTGGACCATAAAAGAAAAACTATGACACAACTAGACAACATGTTAAAAAGCAGAGACATTACTTTGCTGACAAAGGTCCATCTAGTCAAAGCTATGGTTTTTCCAGTAGTCATGTATGGATATGAGAGTTGGACCATAAAGAATGCTGAGTATTGAAGAATTGATGCTTTTGATCTGTGGTGTTGGATAAGACTCTTGAGAGTCCCTGGAACTGCAAGGAGATCAAACCAGCCAGTCCTAAAGGAAATCAGTCCTGAATATTCATTGGAAGGACTGATGTTGAAGCTGAAGCTCAAATATTTTGGCCACCTGATGCAAAGAACTGACTCATTAGAAAAGACTCTGATGCTGGGAAATATTGAAGGCAAGAGGAGAAGGGGACAACAGAGGATGAGATGGTTGCATGCTATCACTGACTCGATGTACGAGTTTTAGTAAGCTCTGGGAGTTGGTAACGGATAGGGAAGCCTGGCGTACTGCAGTCCATGGACTTGAACAGAGTCATACATGAGAGAGTGAGTGAACTGAACTGATTTTTATCAAATTTGTAATTTAAAACTATAAAAAATTAAAAAATACTAATGAACATCCTTTTAGTATTGTTTAATTTTTATAGTTTTAAATTATGAATTTGATAAAAATCAGTTCAGTTCCAAAATCACTGCAAATGGTGACTGCAGCCATTAAATTAAAAGACACCTCCTCCTTGGAAGAAAAGCTATGACCAACCTAGACAGCATAATAAAAAGTAGAGACATTCATTACTTTGCCAACAAAGGTCCATCTAGTCAAAGTTATGGTTTTTCCAGTAGTCATGTATAGGGTTAAGAGTTGAACTATAAAGAAAACTGAGCACTGAAGAATTGATGCTTTTGAACTGTGGTGCTGGAGAAGACTCCTTGAGAGTCCTTTGGACTGCAAGGAGATAAATACAGTCCATCCTAAAGGAAATCTGTCCTGAATATTCATTGGAAAGATTGAAGCAAAGCTAAAACTTCAATACTTTGCCTACCTGATGTGAAGAACTGACTTATTGCAAAAGACTCTGATGTTGGGAAAGATTGAAGGTAGGAGGAGAAGGGGATGGCAGAGAATGAGATGGTTGGATGGCATCACCGACTCTATGGACATGAGTTTAAGTAAGCCCAGGGAGTTTGTGATGGACATGGAAGCCTGGTGGGCTGCAGTCTATGGGGTCGCAAAGAGTCAGACATGACCGAGCGACTGAACTGATAAAACTGATCTTAGTGTTAGTGTTAGTGTTTGTTAGTGTTAGTGTTAGTGTTAGTTTAAAAAACCCGTCATTGTGTCTCGTGACCATCAAACCGTTTTGTTGCCAACATTAAAAATGAATTCCTAAGGTCTGATAGATTATAAATACATTATTGCCATAATGTTTTCAGTTCAGAGAGACACAACATGTACCAGGTCCTCCCACTGTTTTTGAGTTTTATTCCAAGGTTCTAAGTGTTTACCTTTCGGAGATTTTCTTACTCAGATAGTAGGCTCACTCTCCAAGTTATGATTTGAATGTTATATCAGTGTAGAAGCTTATAATAACAAACCTTCACTAATAATAGTCACTTCACTTCATAAATTCACTTGGTGGATTTCCTAGGAAAGGAAGTGCAAGCTAACCTTTCTTGAGCTCTTCCATGTATCTGGCATAGCACAGAGGCCTTTCACTTTATTTTATTTAAGCCTCACAATATCCCATTAATTTCCCAAGATCAAAAATTATGATTTTGTTTAAAGATACGTGTTTATGATCAGGTATTGTAAAATCAGGTATGTGCTCAGTTTAAAGATGAGAGGTCAGCATTTCGAATGTTATGGACTCCACCTACATGAAAAACTCTGTACGAGATGACATTTCCTTTTGTATTTCTTTTATGTAAGGAACGGATTCCAGAGAGTCCTTCTCCTGCTCCCTCTCTGGAAGAGAGTCATCACCCTGAGAGCCAGACCTCCTCCCACCCCAGCAGCAGCGTGTCCAGCTCTCCCTCTCAGATGGATCACCATTCAGAGAGAATAGGTAAGTATCTCACCTGAAGCTAGGAACTGAAAAATAATCTTTCAGGAAATTCTTCATTAGGCAATAGTGAGGGGGGAAATATCTGGGGGACTTGATGCCTCCTTGATTTAAATGTTTTTTTTTTTTTTTAAATGGTGAATTTTTATTGGGAAAGTCATATGAACAAAAAAACTGTTAAGAAGTTTGTTCTCTGGAAGAGTCTTAATTTAATGTATCACTAGATCTGATGGGAACAATTTGATGGGAGTTTTATAGAATATAGGTTAATTCAATGTGTTGGTATTTAGCAGCTAGTGTGATACAAATCACTTGCTATATTCACAGCACCCTTTGAATAATGGATGATAAAATATATTTTGTGCAGTTGATTATGTAAGAGTGGTTAAAAAGTAAATCAATATATGGTTTTCAAGAATCTCAACAATTTAAATGTTAACAGAGGATGAGGCGGTTGGATGGCATTACTGACTCAATGGACATGAGTTTGAGCAAATTTCAGGAGATAGTGAAGGACCAGGAAACCTGGTGTGCTGCAGTCCATGGGGTCACAAACAGTCAGACACGACTTAGTGACTGAACAACAGCAACAATAATTTAGATAAAAAATATTTGGCATGATGTTTTGCACATTTGTTTTATTGTTTCAGAAGTCTTACACCTAGGACATTGTTCCATAAATAGTATAATATTATTGTCAGTGATCTGGCATACTGGAGGCTCTAATCTTGTCACAGTCTGGCACTTACTAGCTATGAGATCTTGGGTATGTCACTTAACCACCATATGTATCTTTACCTAACATGAATATGATTGGGCTTCTAGGTGGCACTAGTAGTAAAGAACCTGCCTGACGATTCAAGAGACATAGAGATGTGGGTTCGACCCCTGGGTCAGGAAGATCCCCTGGAGGAGGGCATAGCAACCCGCTCCAGTATTCTTGTCTGGAGAATCCCATGGACAGAGGAGCCTGACAGGCTACAGTCAATGGCATTGCAGAGTCACACACTACTGAAGTGACCTGGAACCCACACACATGCATAGATATGATTATTGCTCTGCTATTACACTGGAGTTTTGTGAGGTCAATGCAATGATATGTGGTAAAACACTTCAGAAATTTAAAGCACTAAGGAAATGTGAGGAATAAGCATTATTTTTCTCTGTGTGGCTTTACCTTGATTGCTTATCAACTGCTGTCTGATCCTACTCAGGTATACAGATATTACCCAGTGCATTCAACTATAACAAATTCTCCTATATGATAATTATGAGTCAGGTGAGCTAAGTAAAATCTTTGTTAATCTTTTATACCTACACACGTCCAATTTTGTAAGTATCCATTTCCTCTAGGGAAAATAATTTCTGCTCTTCTTTTAATCTTACTATAGGGACATTTTTCCATGTAAACTCTAAATTTTTGCACTTTATAATAATGATAACCTCAAGTCTCTCCAAAGTAATGTTTTTATGTGGGAAGAATGGAATTTGAGGGATTAGGGAAGGTTTTATATTCTGGATTTGTTCTGGGAAAGGACAAAAATGATTCCACTCTTGTGGAAATTCATCCAAGTCTCATTTAGCTTGTCAATATTGCATATTCTTTGTAGCTATTTAGCTTCATAGTGAGATCAGTGAGTCACAAATCTGTCTCCCCATTATAATCACCTATGGAGGGTTTACAAATATGGATGCCCAGGCCACATGCTCAGTCTCATGTACCTGGTCTGGTATAGAGCCTAGCAGCAGTGTTCTGATTTGCTTTTCAATATATCCTCAGAAGATTCTAATGTGCAGCCAGAGTTAACAACCACTGAATTAAAACTTTTAGCTAATATCCATACTGGAGTAAATTTAATTCCTAGACGAAGTGACATACGTTTTCTATGGATACAGTCTAATTTACTTGTTACAGTATTGTGTGCAACTGATTCAGGGGAGTCTTAGGATATAGCCAGATGACCATTAAGCAATCAAGAAACACATATTCTTCTATTAGAATAATCTTTGTATAAATGAGGGAGGGGGAGAAGAGGAAAAGGGGAGAGATAATTATTTAGAGTACTGGTTATAAGCAGAGTACATAGGGAACTATTGGTACTATGTGATACACATATTTTAAAGGATGCCTTATGTTTAGAAATAAAGTATATCAAAGCAATATAGTATTGTAAAAAAAAATCTTTACAACATAAAGCATTTCTAAGTCCACTGACAGTAATTATACTCTCTATGCACATTCTACAATTGTCAAAGCATGATAATCAGATTGTCTATAACCGAATAAAAAATTTTGATGATTTTTGTTTTAAAGTGACCATATTTATTTATGGTGCTATATAATATTTTAATAAGGTATAACTAAAGAAAATTAATTGATAAACTGAAATTGGCATGATTTTCCTCTTTCAATATAAATGTTTTGCGAAGTACTTACAACAATGGCCAGAAAATTATATCATATCTATTAATTTTGCTATATGTTTGCAAAAACTCTCTAAGGTAAATTACAGTCATAATTATTTTAAACTCATAAGATTAAATGCAAAATCCATTTCAGAAGCATTTTTGGAATTATATTATTGATTATAGAGGTAAATAGCTAATTTGCACATGGATTTTAAAAGAAAAATATTTTAAATGATTTAAAGACATGTTAGAAATTGTATATGTACTATGCATTAATTATACTTTAAAAATCATGTGATTGAGCAGCTTATTGATTTTTAAATTGCATGATCATCATACCTACAAAAATCTTTTCAGTGGTTCAGAAGTAGAAATGTATAAAATTCATGTTAGTTATTTATTGGAGTAAAATAGCTGCTTATGTAATGCTTTTCTGCTTTTCTTTTGGATGTTTTGCAAGAAAATTACACAGTTAAATCTTTTACTTATAGTTATGATGCCCCCAAATAGAGAAGACCTTATTGTTGAACAGGATACTGGACCAACTATCAAAAAATTCCAAAGGGAAAATAAAGGTAAAATAATTTTTGCTTATTTAATGTACATATAAAGATTGGACACTAACTCACTTAACATCCTATTGCTGTATATTGTATACACATTTCCCTCAGTCAGAATAGATCTATACTGACTTTGGATAAATTATTTTTGTAGTAAAAAATAATATTTACCTGAATTTTATTTGATATTATAAATAACATATTAACCCAAAGTTTTTTGGTTCCTGTGGTTGGAAGTTTTACCCTAAGCCCTTTATATTATACCTGATTAGAGACATCTGATTCTAGTTTTATTACGTTTGTACTTTGCTGACTATATTTAAATTAATCAACATTTTATGGTTATGTTTGAAAAACTTGAGTTGCTATCATACAAGAGGGATGTTCTCAACATGCAAAAGTGATTTTAAAGTATATGCTGATTTGGACATTTCAAAGGAAATTTTAGCAAGCTACTCCTATTAGGTATTTACCTAGAATGAGGATAGATATGACATCAGTCTGGCTTGTAATCAACTGACAAATGTGTAATTTCTGCACAGCATCCAACTTTTTCTTAGGATATCTGTTTGAAGAAGGTAGGGAGAATAAGAATTTCAGTCACACTTCCTTGATATGAAAACTGAGTACAACTTTGTTTAAAAGACTTAAGGTAAGAGTAAAGGAAAATATATCAGCATATGTTATAGGCTATGCATTATGATTGTCATCATAGATTTATGAACTCTAAGCTAAAGAACATAAGCTAACAGGTAATTTGTCAGATCACCAGATGGTCTGATTGTGCTTCACCATTAAGATGCATTTTTCTGTCTTTAATAAAGATGCTCATAATATGTAGAGAAAAAAAACTCTCCATGAACACCTGAGGAGTTGATAGAGAAATTTCTTTTACTTTTTCTCTAAACTTAACTTGCCTTCTAATTACCTAGATGAGCATTTTAGTTAGAATTTGGAATAGCCTAGGATTTTAATGTCATTGATCTATGTTTGGTTTCCTTGCCACATGTTTTGTCATTTTGTATCAAAAGACTATACTCTCTGGGGCCCAAGTTGTAAATGCTTGATTTCAGAAAAGTTTTCAGAGTGGGAGAAGTCAAGTAGAGCATTTTAAACTAGCCAAACACTTACAGAGGTAATGGAACTGTAGTTAAGGATGAAACTTCATTCATAACTCAGCAACAATTTGTTCCTGAAGCCTCTTTCCCAGCAAGTCATGACAGTTTGAAGGACGGCTTGGTAGTAAAGCAGATTTTGTAGGAAAATCTCAAGCTGTACAAGATACACATGGTTCCATCAGAACTGCAAACCCCATAAGTCACAGTGGCATTTAGGACTGGCTTGTGTGCTGCAATGCTCAAGGACACGCTGCTATATCTTATGAAGGATCAGCTGGAGTGCTAGTACAGATGTACAATAACTGAATTTCATAAAAATACACAGTGGTATGCACTGGCATTTTTTAGTCTCTTGCTGTGGAATGGCACAGTTATGCTCATTTGAAACAGGTTGGTCACACATCCTGATGAAGATATTAATAGACAGGAGTGACATATTAAAATGCATTTCTTCAGTTATATGGGAAAGCTTTCTCTTTTTCTGATTTATTCATTTCTTGATTTATTTGGTTTAGGGTCATTGTTTTATTTTATTTTTTGTTTCTTAAATTTTTATTTCTCTATTTTAAAATTAATTTATTTATCTTAATTGAAGGCTAATTACTTTACAATATTGTAGTGACTTTTGCCATAAAGTGACATGAATTAGCCATGGGTGTACATGTGTTACCCATCCTGAACTGCCCTCCCCCCCCCCGCACCTCCTTCCCCATCCCTTCCCTCAGGGTCATCCCAGTACACTGGTCTTGAGCACCCTGTCTCATGCATTGAACCTTGACTGGCGGTCTATTTCACATCTGGTAATATACATATTTCAGTGCTATTCTCTCAAATCATTCCACCCTCGCCTTCTCCCACAGAGTCCAAAAGACTGTTATTTACATCTGTGTCTTTTTTGCTGTCTTGCATATAGGGTCATGGTTACCATCTTTCTAAATTCCATATATATGCATTAATATACTGTATTGGTGTTTTTCTTTCTGACTTACTCCACTCTGTATAAGAGGTTCCAGTTTCATCCACCTCATTAGAACTGCTTCAAATGAATTATTTTTAATAGCTGAGTAATATGCCATTGTGTATATGTATTACAACTTTCTTAAACACTTGTTTGCTGATGGACATCTAGGTTGTTTCCATGACCTAACTATTGTAAACAGTGCTGCGATGAACATTGGGGTACACGTGTCTCTTTCAATTCTGGTTTCCTTGGTGAGTATGCCCAGCAGTGGGATTGCTGGGTCATATGGCAGTTCTATTTTCAGTTTTTTAGGTAGTCTCCAAACTGTTCTCAATAGTGGCTGTACTAGTTTGCATTCCCACCAATGGTATAAGAGGGCTCCCTTTTCTCTACACCCTCTCCAGCATTTATTGTTTGTAGGCATTTTGATAGCAACCATTCTGACTGGCATGAGATGGTACTTTGTTGTGGTTTTCATTTGCATTTCTCTGATAATGAGTGATATTGAGCACCTATTCATTTGTTTGTTAGCCATCTGTAGTCTTCTTTGGGGAAATATCTGTTGAGTTTTTGGCCCATTTTTTCATTGGGTCGTTTATTTTTCTGGAATTGAGTTGCATGAGCTGCTTGCATATATTTGAGATTAATTCTTTGTCAGTTGTTTCGTTTGATAGTATTTTCTTCCATTCTCAAGGCTGTCTTTTCATCTTCCTTATAGTTTCCTTCGTTGTGCCAAAGCTTTTAAGTTTAATTGGGCCCCATGTGCTTATTTTTGCTTTTATTTCCATTACTCTGGGAGGAGGGCCATAGAGGATCCTGCTGTGTTTCTAGTCTTACATTTAGATCTTTAATCAATTTTGAGTTTATTTTTGTGTATGGTGTTAGAAAATATTCTAGTTTCATTCTTTAAAAATGACTGACCAGTTTTCCCAACACCACTTGTTAAAGAGATTGTCTTTTCTCCATTGTACATTCTTGCCTCCTTTATTGAAGACAAGGTGTCACTAGGTGTGTGGATTTACCTCTGGGCTTTCTATTTTGTTCCATTGATCTATATTTCTGTCTTTGTGCCAGTACCATACTGTCCCGATGACTGTAGATTTGTAGTATAGTATGAAGTCAGGCGCATTGATCCCTTCAGTTTCATTCATTTTTCTCAAGATTGTGTTGACTATTCAAGGATTTTAGTAGTGCCATACAAATTGTGAAATTATTTGTTCAAGTTCTCTGAAAAATACATTGGTATCTTGACAGGAATTGCATTGAATCTGTAGATTGCTTTGGATACTATACTCATTTTCACTATGTTGTTTCTTCTGATCCATTAACAAGGTATATTTCTCCACCTATTTGTGTCATCTTTGATTTCTTTCATCAGTGGTTTATAGTTTTCTATATATATATGTCCTTTGTTTCTTTAGGTAGATTTATTCCTAAGTATTTTTTTTTTCTTTTCATTGCAATGGTGAATGGAATTGTTTCCTTAATTTTTCTTTCTGTCTTCTTATTGTTAGTATACAGGAATGCAAGGCATTTCTCTGTGTAATTTTATATCCTGCAACTTTACTACATCATTGATTAGCTCTAGTAATTTTCTGGTGGAGTCTTTAGGATTTTCTATGTAGAGGATCATGTCATCTGCAAACAGTGAGAGTTTTGCTTCTTCTTTTCAAACCTGGTTTCCTTTTATTTCTTTTTCTTCTCTGATTGCTGTGGCTAAAACTTCCAAAACTATGTTGAATAGTAGTGATGAGAGTGGCACCCTTGTCTTGTTCCTGACTTTAGGGGAAATGCTTTCAATTTTTCACCATTGAGGATAATGTTTGCTGTGGGTTTATCATATAAGCCTTTTACTATGTTGAGCTATGCTCCTTCTATGCATTCTTTCTGGAGGTTTTTTTTTTTTTTTTAATCATAAATGATTGTATTTTGTCAAAGGCTTTCTCTGCATCTATTGAGATAATCATATGGTTTTTATCTCTCAATTTGTTAATGTGGTGCATCACAATGATTGATTTGTGAATATTGAAGAATCCTTGCATCTCTGGGATAAAGCCCCCTTGGTCATGATGTATGATATTTTTAATATGTTGTTGGATTCTGTTTGCTAGAATTTTGTTAAGGATTTTTGCATCTATGTTCATCAGTGATATTGGCCTGCAGTTTTCTTTTTTTTTGTGGCTTCTTTGTCTAGTTTTGGTATTAGGGTGATGGTGGCCTCATAGAAGGTGTTTGGAAGTTTACCTTCCTCTCCAGTTTTCTGGAAGATTTTGAGTAGGATAGGTATTAGCTCTTCTCTAAATTTTTGGTCGAATTCCCCTGTGAAGCATCTGATCCTGGGATTTTGTTTAGTGGAAGATTTCTGATTAGAGTTTCGATTTCCATGCTTGTGATGTGTCTGTGAATATTTTCTATTTCTCTCTGGTTCAGTTTTGAAAGGTTATACTTTGCTAAGAATTTGTCCATTTCTTCCAAGTTGTCTATTTTATTGACATATAGTTGCTGACAGTAGTTTCTTATGATCCTTTGTACTTCTGTCTTGTCTGTTGTGATTTCTCCATTTGCATTTCTAATTTTGTTGATTTGATTATTTTCCCTTTTTCTCTTGATGAGTCTGGATAATGGTTTATCTATTTTATTTATCTTCTCAAAGTACAGCTTTTAGCTTTCTTGATTTTTACTATGGCCTCCTTTGTTTCTTTTGGATTTATTTCTACCCTAATTTTTATGATTTATTTCCTTGTAATAACCCTGGGGTTCTTCAATTCTTCTTTTTCTAATTGCTTCTTGTGTAGAGTTAGGTTCTGCACTTAATTTTTCTCTTTTTTCTTGAGGCAACCCTGTATTGTTATGAACCTTCCCCTTAGCACGGCTTTTACTGAATCACGTAAGTTTTGGGTTGCCATGTTTTCATTTTCATTTATTTCTATGCATAT